TTGGAAACTACCAGCTGTTCCGCTGGAGAAAGATGAGGCTTTCCGCTCCCGTAAAGATTTACAGCCTCGGAAACCCTGTACGGGTCACTATGGGTCAGAATGACTCGACGGCACCTAACAATTGGTGCTGTAGGATATGCACTACACTATTAACTGCAAGGTCGGTGGTTCAAACCTACAAGCCACTCCTCAGAAACAGTATACAGAGTCACTATAAGTCAGAACTGACTCAATGGCACTTAACAACTACAACAATGGTTCTGCTACAAAATCACATAATCTTGACCCCAGGAGAGAAACAATGGAAATGGGAAGGAAATATATTTCAAATTTTCAGAAGTAAAATCCGTTACCAAGATATAAGCAATGTTGAATCTGAAAACATGAAGCATTTGGTTTCATGTCTGAATTACATAAGACTGGAAACATTTAAAAATGAAATTTAGAAACAAGTTTGGTTGAAAAGCCTACTGTCTGTCACCCATGTAAACACATGAACACACACTCTAAATCTATAGTGAGAACATTAGAAATAAAGATCTAGAATATAAACTACAGGATAAAATCACGATAACTTGAGACAACACAGAAGCAATCAGAAAGCAATTTGTTAATTTTGGCTGATTTTAGTTTTTATTAAACAGTTACATATATAGAAATTTAAAATAGAAATTTTCTTTCAAAGTATTACCTCAAAATTGTGTACCTCATTATCTAACTTACTAAAAGATCATTTTTTTTTCATATGACAAGTGGGCAGCTTGACCTTGCTCGTTTTTCATTACAAAGTTTTCATGTGATCCAATTAAGAAAAATACTTATAATTTAAGGATTAAAAACGTAGGCTGAAAGCCACAGCTTCCCTGTTTTTCACAATCTTCAAATCTCAGCAGCTTTTTAAGAAAGTTTGAAGAAATAAACTCTCTGTATTCTAAAGTACTTCATTTAATGATTAAAACAAGAATCTTGAGAAACTTTTAATACATTTTCAAAGAATTATTCACATACAATAACACAGAATAAGAGGAAAAGTAATCATGATTTAAGCTCTGGATCTGCTTATATGCAAAATGTAGAGTTTGTATTAGATAATCTCCAAATTCTCTTCTGGCAATACAACGCTATATATAATTCTAAGTAGTAGATATTGAGTACCTACTACTTGCAAAGTACTTGCTACAGTCTTGCACTGATTGTAACTGCCCTTCAAGGCAACCTTTGTAAGTCTCTTATTCATCTTCTCTTCATTGGACTGCACACAAAATACTAAACTAGCTGTTGGCCTTCCTCTACATTTCTAATTTCACAAGCTTTGGCTAAGCTTGCACTGTCCAATTTTAGTCACTAGTCATATGTAAATGAGCATGTGAAATATGTCTAGCCTGAACTGAGATACGATAAAAGTGTAGAATTTTATTTTTAGGATCTAATAAATGAAACACAATGGAAAATATCTCATTATTTTGGATTTACTGGATGATATACTGACATTTTACTTTAAATTTTTGAGCTATAAAGATCTTAAATTATGTATGATTCATGTTATTTTTCATCGGCCTACACTAGGTTACCATGACCTGTCTCATTGGCCTGACCACAGAGGCAGAGTAATGAACAATTATTCACATCGCTCTTCTTGTAATTCCCCTTTTCTTGCAATATCATTCATTATTGAGCCAACCATCTGTCTTCATTATTACTCCATTATGAAAGTTAGGAATGATACTAATTTTATTCTAAATTTTAGCTAAGGAAGATGGTAATTCCATTTCAAATCTTTTCTCTTAACTTTGAAACAAAGACCATGTCCAATATTACCCATTTCCTGACTAGTGAATATGGAAATGCTTCCAAAGTTCCTAGTCAATTACTAACTTTCCTTTTCTCAGATGTTTTCACTTCAGTGATGCCCCTTCCTCTATAACAACACTTGGTGGTGGTGGTGGTGTGTTGGTTCCCACTCATTGTGACCCTGTATGGGCTTCCGAGGCTGTAAATCTTTACAGGAGCAGAGAGCCTCATCTTTCTGCCACAGAATAGCTGGTGGTTTCAAACTGCTGACACTGAGGTTTGCAGCCTGACTTATAACCACTAAGCTGCCAGAGAGTTACTGTGACTGAATAGCCACTGTCTCCCAAAGTTAATCACAAAACTGACATGTGCAGAGAAATGACAAGAAAAGTGAAGTGGTCATTAGCTTTATACCTAGTAACATGCTTTATTTAAGACAGAAAAATGGAAGTCTTTATGATTCCCCTAGACATCAAGAATAAGAAGTATTTTTTTTTAAAGGAATAGAGCCTTCCTACTCTATGTATTCATCCACCTTCCTTAAAAAAAAACAAAAAAAACACCTGATTTTAACATGTCTTTATCATTTATGCAACAATATTTATATGGAATGTGGAAACCTTTACTGGATCTGAAAAATAATAAAATCTTAAGGAATAGCAACAATGAGACAAGTACTTTAAAGCAGTATAAATATATATGTATAAAAGCTGAATACTTAAAAATAGCTAAGCAAAAATATCCACCAAGAAAACTTACTCTTCTATGTTATAAATCGTTACATACATTCAGTTTGCTCAGGCCTTGTTTAATTTTTAAATGTTATTTGATTAGAATTTTAATACTATTTATAATGAAGTTTGACATTTTAAAGAAAATACTTTAAAGTAGAAAGGCACTTCGGGAATCAAGATTTATGTCCTTGTTTTATAGATAAGAGATTGAGTATCTGCTAAGCTATGTAACTTGAACACAGGTATGCTGACTTCATGTTTAACCTGGTCCACTGTATTATGCCATTTTACTCTTTAAACTCTCATCTGGTTAAATCAAAGAGGTATTTAAATTCCAACTTATTAAAATCAAAGATCATTTTAGCAGCACTATTAATGATTTTGGTGTTCTATTTATTTGGAATAAAAGCATTTCAGTAATATCAACAGGAGACATAAAGTATATCTAGATGAATTTAACTTTTAGGGAAGTGTTGAGATAATTAAACCCTGTTGATGTTCATAGGTACAAGTTTCATATAATTTACTTCAAACTTCTGCCTTTAAGAATGAGATCTTGTCAGTTACTTTCTTTAAGCTTACGGCAGGTAATACAAGGGGACTTCTAAATTTGTTTAAAAAAAAAAAAAAAGTGGAATTAAACAACAGTGGACTTTTCCCACAAACTTTTTGAAGCTCTCTTGTATTTATTATTTCACTGGGAGATATTGAGTGTTCTATTGAAAATGACAGCAAATGTAAAACTTTGTTTAAAAATTAACTAGTTAATATCCCATGTGTAAACTATACCTCTGGAAGTACTATAACACAAAAGCATTATTCTAGTGGAACTCTATCCTAGGCAAGACTATTATTTACTCAATATTAATGGGGTAATAAGATAGCATCTGATATATAAATATGATAAATGAATTATTCATTTTCTTAAAAGTGTCTAAGTTTACCCAAGTAGAAGCAGTAACAGAAGACTGTATTGTTTTGCTTCAGTTGCGTCTTTCCAAAAGGGCAACCATTATTTTGCATCTTTCTGGCTATTTTTCCTTTTTAATACAAATCTTTACGTTTATCAGGGACTCTGCTGGGTGTTAGGAATATAAACACAAATAGCACCTAAAGTAGGCTTAAATTTCAGTTAAGATCAGTGAAAGCAAACATAAGTTGAGGAAACTCTAGGATATATTAATTGTACCCAATAAGTTGCTAGAGAAGACTCAGATATGCATATCTTATTCCTCTGTAAGGGACATGGTTATTTAGCTTGAGAATAAGGGTATTTTCAAGAATACTTTTCATAAAATGAAAATAACGATACCAACTTAAAATTTCAACATTAAGGTGTAGATAACAGCTATCTAGTTAATATGAGGGGGCTTCAAAACTTCATGTGAAAAATTGAGTAAAAAAATAGTAGAATTTTCCACAAACATTTTGAAGCCCCACTGTATGACAGAGAATAGGTGAGAAGATTGCCAAAGACAAATTTCATTTCACTTCAAATTTGTTTTATCATTGGTTATTCATCAAATCATGGAGTTGTTTCTCATGGTACCATTCTTGTCAATTATCATAGTCAGTCTACTTTTAGTTGCAAACAAAAGACAAAGTAGGTTAGAAAGGGGGAAAATAAACTGAGTATATCTTGGAGTTTGAAGAAAACAACAGAAGATAAGCAAAATCCATGAGGCTTATACAAGAAGCACATAAATACATATATGTTTCTTAAGTCTGAAATCTAGACCTTCTAAGAGAGACAGATAAAAAAGCAAAGGCAATTGTTCTCTTTGCTTTATGTAGGACAAAAATAGTCACCAAAGTTGAAACATGGGATAAATGTCTTTTGGTTTATGGTAGTCTCACAAGAAAACTTAGGTTTCATTTACTCATTTAATAATTTAAGAGCTCAAATTTTTTTGTTAACTAAAATAATTAATGAATCATAGCATCACCTATATACACCTAGAAAAAGTGTCTTACTGTTAAAAATGCTTTAAAAAGTGCCTTTATGTTTACATACCCAAATAATTTGTTACTAAAGCTTCACAAGGAATATCATTTTATTACTGCAATCACAAAATCATAATTTCTGTACAGGAATGTATAAGTGAACATTAATCAATGCATTGATAATTCACTTCATAAACATCAGATAAAACATACTACAGGATACACTATAAAGAAAAAAACTGTAAAATTTCTGGCCTTGCAGTACACTTTTCAGTGCAAGTATTTAAGACACAATAGTGTTCAATTCAGCAAAGTATTGCAGAATATCATGCCACAGTCCACTTAATTCAAAGAGGGTCAGGACATGCAGCTTGTAATAAAATGTCAGCATGTGTGTATATATATAAAAAACCACATGTAATTCATAAAATATATAGTGGTTTATTTAGATGGTTTTAAATGATTTCATTGTGGAATTCAGCATAACTGGAACAAACATCCAAGGTCTTCTTAACAGGGATCATATTCTTGCTAGGCAATGGCTTTGGCTTCAGGTAGAAATGCCTCCCAGTATTTTATCAGCTGTGGATGATAAATAAAAACATAAGATATCTTTTTGGCACTCACATGCATGTTTGATATTTCCAAAAATCGATATAAATAAATAACAATGATTCACAATTAGTTAAAAATAATTATTTCAAGTTCTTTATCTGAAGTTTGTCAACAGTAGTTTACATACAAAGTATTTGAAATATTAATGATTTTTGTATGGTATCAGTGTTTGATGTAAAAAATAAATACAAAAGAAACATAAATTGTATGATTTATACACAACTGTGCAGGAGAAAGATGAGGCTTTCTACTCCTGCAAAGATTAAAGCCTCGGAAACCCTATACAGGGTCAATATGAATGGAAACCAACTCGATGACACTAAAAACAATGTGCACAATTATATATATAAAAGTTTTCACCATTTATAAAATAAGACTACCTGAATTAATACAAGTATGATAAACTATTCCAAAAAAGTGCTAAAGTCTTCTAACTCAGAAAATAAATAATTAAGTTTTATGTTATTGCTGGTCTTAGATGGGAAAACAGAAAATATTGGGCAAAAAGGGAAAATAAACTGGAAAGAATTAACAGCCAATAATATCCTTTGGAGTCCTGGTATTACACTAACCACAAGGTTGGTGGTTAACCCACAAGCCTACACAGGATCACCATGAGTTAGGACACAAATACCTTTTGTGACTTGGCCAAAGCCCAAATACAATCACTACCAGCCCCTAAAAGAATGAAACAATACATCTTTTTTAAAAAAACTTAAAAAGTTGCCTATAGTAGGGCTGATGAAATGAAATGCAGATGGATCTCTTGTGATACAATAGTGAATAATTGTTATCTGGACTGCTTGTGAGGGTGGGAATTGTAAAGGTAGACGTTTTGTAGCAAGGAGGGGAGTGATCAACTTTTCAGCCTAGGAGCGGAGGTCCCTGGTACCATCAAGGGAGAAGAGTGGAGAGCAAGACCCTACCCAGAGAAGCAGTGATGCCTGAGATGGAGGCAGAAACGACAACGTGGAGAGATGGAGCTGTTAGGGACTTTAGACACAGAGAGGGAAAGGAGCTGTGTGCTGATGACCGGGGGGCAGGCTTGCAGTGTATACCCTTTGGTTGGTTGATGATGTATGGAGGGGATTGTAACCATAGCAATGAAATGATATACGATAGGATGAATGTAAAACTAATGTTCTCCCATGTAAACTATCGCATAATTTATAATAAAACATTGGAAAAAAAAAAAAGTTGCCTATATCTATTATGAAAGAAGAATGTGCTAAAAGAATCTACTTAAACAAGTCTGAACAACAAGGTAATCCATAAAACTACAAAGGTAGAAAAAGGAAAAAGTTGCCCAGAAGGTATCTCATGGCCCGAACTGGGAAAAGTCTATCTATCTTGTGTTTACAAGTAGTAGAGGCAAAAAGGCCCTTGGACAGTTTTTGACTATTGTTTTCTTCTTTGCTGACTGAATTTTCTCTATTTCATTTTCTTATTCATTTACTAGTTTAAGAGCCCATTTCATTAATCATATTCTTTTAAACAAAAAGTATACCAAATCAAATTCTGGAAGTCTGTTAAGTTATAAAAAATTAGCTTACCTGTTGCTGTGTTTGCACTAATGATTCTAAGTACTTGATAATAACAGTTTTAAAATCTTTCACTCGTTCTTTCTGTTAAATAAAGTACAATATATGAAAAAATGTCCAATAGTAAAAAAGTAAATTAATCACAAAATTGCTGCAAAATGTGACCATCATGTTATTAAGAAAAGTGCAGAAACTATTATACGTGCCTCAAATCTTCCCACTTCTTTTCGAATTGTTTTAGAGATCTGTTCAAAATCTCTTTCTCCTTGTTGCACTTTGGCCTCCCACTAATAAAAACAAACAAAAATGCACAAATGTTTTATTCTTGTCTTTAAAAAGAACAAAAACAAAAAACTCTAGAACTAGCTGTCACGACTACTTATTACTAAATTTTTCTGAGAAAACTTATTATAGGCTAAGTCTAATTTAGTTCCACTCAAGTATGTATCTAAATGGATGTCAATTTAATTTCCATTAACATTAACTGCTACATTTTCTCAAGAGTAGAATATTTTAGAAGCTGATGAACTACAATGCCCATAGTTTAAGTATAACTAAGACAGAGAAAAATAAATCCAGTACAAAACCCATTACACCAAGTAACCCATTACATTGCGTTACAATGTAATTTCTTATTTTTTAAGTATCATTCATAATTTACAAATATCTTAATGATATTATGTTAATTTCACAAATATATGCTCATCACATTTCATATCACACTTAAATTGGGAAAACTGTATAACAAATATTTTAAAAACCTTATTGTTGTAATGTTAAAATGACCAGACTTTATTAAAAAAAAAAAAAAAGTGTAATTATGGTCACTTAACCTCAAGATCTGTTTGAACAGCAAGGTCAGTGGTTCAAATTCACTAACTGCTCTTCAGAAACCCAGTACAGGGTCACTATGAATTGAAACTGACTTGACAGCACTTAACAACAAAGACCTCACTGATAAACTATAAATTTAGTACAGCAACAACAAAACATTGTGATTAGTGACCAACGAACAGCTAAAATAAAATAACTGAAGATTTAAGCAATGAAAATGATATTTTCCCACTATGTAACCAAAACACTAGTACATACTCTTCAAAGAGCAGGTACATTTATCTTTAGTAACATAAAGGTTGTCCTACCTCTTCAATTTCCTTATTGAAGCATGGCAAAAAAAGTATAAATTATAATAACCTTATGCAAATTTAGTAAAATACCATATATAAGACATATATATGGGGTGTAATGTTCCCTGGACAGCTAAATGTGGGACAGCTCTATTTCTAAAACTACTTTCATACACAAAATAAGTAATTATCTGACAGCACATTTACTATATCAAAAGAAATGTGTAATTATTAAGGCCAATGTTAATTTTAGATCTTTTTGTTGTATAATTAATTCATTATCCATCCCGTAATCAAGTGGAGGTAATGAAGGCCTCTGGAAATGTCAGTGGTGATCAGCATATTAAAGTAATTCCACCAGTTATACAAATATGGAAAAAGTGTTGAATGGCTCAGAAAAAAAATGTATGAAAATTATGCATATATGAATGACTCATAAAAAACTTGAGTGAAATGACAAAGTAACATTAATCACCTCTCTTATTTCATTCTTAGCTTGCTGTATTTTATCTGGTTTGTTAGCAACCATCATTTTTGCCTCAGTTTCACGTTTTTTGAGCAAAGTAATTTGAGCATCTTCCCATTTCTGCCAGCACTTCATTCGATGGTCAAACACACCCTATAAGTGAACAATATAATGCTATTAAGTAACAGCAACATTGTGAAATACTTTCATAACAGCAGGATTACTGTAACATTGAAAACATAAAACAAAATACGTAAATGCTATTCTAATGTACTTAATATGTTATCGTTAAGTGCCGCTGAGTCACTTCTGACCCATAGTGACTCTGTATAGGGTTTCCGAGGAGTTGCTGGAGAGCTTGAGCCGCCGACCCTGCAGTTCAAATCGTCCTTGCAGTCTAGTGCATTATCTTATAGCACCACACAGTACACAAATATAACAAAATACTCAATATACATTTGCTTCAAAACAAGAAATCTTTTCACTGGATGAAAATGAGAGTGTGGAATCAAGGAAAAAAAACTACAAACAAAATTCACTTCACTTGTAAACAGTGTTTTAAATGTGGTTTACAATAAGATTCCTAATAGCTTTTTATGATCTTAATAAAAGAGTTTATAGAAAAATGTTGGAGTCATATTTACATAGGAAGGTTTCCTACTAGACAGGGTCAAAAGCAGATCTGAATATTGTAAATTTTTAGAAATTGAAGAAAAAAATAAGACTCATTAACAGTAAGTAAAATTAAGTGAAAAATGTGATGAGAAGAAATGACCAATAATAAATAAAGGAGAAACAATTTAAAAAACAAAAGTATACATAGCAAAAAAACAAAACACATAAAACAAGACAGTTTACAAGAATGTAGATAAACTGCATGCAGAACAAATAGAAAAACTGGAACAAAACAAGTCAACCAAGTTGACTGCCGTATTTATATGCAAATAATGGGTATGTTATTGTTTTTACCAACCACACAATAATTCTCTTGTGTGTTAGTTTCTTTAAAAATAAGGTACTTTTCTCAAGTGGTCTGAAGCAGGAAATGAAATGTAGATACATGACAATAATAAGTCTCTTGAAAGAAGTGATAGGTAAGATGGGAGAATCAAAGATAATCCCTCTTCAGTCATGACTTTGGGGATATAGCAATACTATTTTAGTATGTACTAACTAACCAAACAAATAAAACATGTTAATATATCAAGTGAAATATAAAACATTAAAAGAATAAAATAAAATATAACACTTTGAGGATCAAGAAAGAGTGAATACATGTTTCTAACAAGGACTTTCTGAAGAGAAAAATGTGGGTAGTGTATTTACAAATTATGGATAACAATGCAAAGAATGGAAATTCCAGAACCCTTCATTGAGCTCATGAAGAAAGTGCACATAAACTAAGATGCAGTCATTTAAAGATAACAAGAAGATACTGAGTAGATCAAAATAAGGAAGGTGTGCATTAACATTGTACCCTGTCACTATACCTTTTTCAATGAGTATGCTGAGGAAAGAATCTGAGCAGTTGGACTATATGAAGAAGAAAGTAGGATTGAACAAAGATTCATTAACAAGCTCTAATATGCAGATGATATAATGTTGCTTGCTGGAACTGAAGAGGACTGGAAGCAGTTACTGATGAAGATCAATTCAGTAAGGATTGCACCTCAATGTAAAGAAAACAAAGATCCTCACAACTGGACCAATAAGCAACATCGTTATAAATAGAGAAGAGATTGAAGTTGTCAAGGATTTTATTCTTCATTTTACTTGGATCCACAAATAGCACTTAACAACAATAATCAATCAATCAATCAATCAATCAATCAATGGAAGCAGCAGTCAAAAAATCAAATGATGTATTGCATTGGACAAATTTGCTGCAAAAGATCTCTTTAAAGTGTTAAAAAGCAAAGATGTCAGAAAGGTGTGCCTGACCCAAACCATGGTATCTGCAGTTAACTCATATGCATATGACATCTGGACAATGAACAAGACAGAAGAACTGATGCCTTAGAATTATGGTGTTTGAGACGAGTATCAAATACATAGGCTGACAGAAGAACGAACAAATCTGTGTTGACTGAAGTACAGCCAGAAGGATTCTTAAAACATAAGGGAGACAAGACATAATATCACATGATATGGACATATTATAAGGTGTGACCAATCTCTGAAGAAGGATATCAAACTTGGTAAAGTAGAGGGTCAGCAAAAAGGAGGAGGAACACCCTCAGTGAGACAGACTAACACAGTGGTTACAGCAATGGACTCACATATAGCAACAATTGCGAGGATGGCACGAGATTGGGCAGTATTTTGTTCTGTTGTATATAGGATTGCTATTAGCTGAAATAGATTCAGTGGTATCTAACAGGAACAAGTCTATTATAAGAAAGAATGTAGGGGACCCTAGGACCATCAAGGGAGAAACGCACAAGCAGAATGCAGGACCTTATCCAGAGGAGCAGGACTGCCAGAGATGGAGGCAGAGATAGGGTCATGAAGAGGGAGAACAGCTGAGGACTCTAGATTGATGGGAAGAGAGTAACTAAGAGCTGGTGGCCAGGAGGCAGACTTGCAGAATGTGCCCTTTGGAGATGTAAACTGTTATATATGCCTGAGTGTTTTTTTTGTATGTTTTTTAAAAAAGCTAAACTGGATAGAGAGAAACACTGTTAACTGATGGCACACGGAAGGGATTATAACCATTGTAATGAAACAAGGTGTATGATTTGTTGAATGTAAAACTGGTGATCTGGCCTGTAAACTTTCACTCAATCCACAATAAAAGCCCTAAAAAGAAAAGAAAAAGAATGCAGACTTTAGTACAAATCAAATTTGGCTTCCAATACCAGCACTTGTCACTCTAAACCATAGTTCTCCCACTTGAAAGCAGGGATTAAAAATAACAAGAAAAGTATGTAGTGCTGATGATGCTGATGGTATAAGTAGTTTGTAAATGGCTGCTGACCTGAAGGCTGGCTGTTGGAACCCACTCAATGGCTCAGTGGAAGAAAGGCCTGGAAAAAAACCCAAGAAAACCCTACACAGCAGCTCCACCCTTTAACATCTTGGATTTCCATGAGTCACTCAATGGCAGCTAACAAGAAATATAATTATTTCTTAATATCATACACACATAAATTTAGTAGACTTCTACTAAAAATAATAATTCATTATTTATTATAATTGGATCACATACAGCATTTCCCCAAAATGTATTTAAAAACCCAATCCATTAGAAATCAACGTATTTTTCCACCCAAAGAGTTTTCAAAAATTGTGGACATTTAAAGCTGAAAAAAATGTTCTCTTGATGAGTTCTATGAATTTTCAAAGAATATACTGTTAACTATAACATCTTTCATTTTCAGAAAACAGTAGTTTTTCTTTATGGTGGTGGTGGTGGTGGTGGTATGCCATGGAGTCGATTCCAACTCACAGTGACCTTATATATGGTTTCCAAGGCTGTAAATCTTTATGGGAGCAGAAAGCCTCATTTTTTCTCCCACGGAATGGCTGGTAGTTTTGAACTGCTGACCCTGAGGTTAGCAGCCCAACTCATACCCACTCTGTTACTAGATCTTAATTTTTCTTTATACTGTTCTCCAAATTCTTTAAAACTCAATTTCTACAGAAACAGAGGCATATCAGCTCTTCTTTTCTAAACTCTGTTCAATAATAATTTGATTACTTAAAACATATACCAAGTAAAGGCAAAGCCAACTCAAATGCCCTTTAATTTCATTATCTGCTAAAGTCCTTAGCAAAATTTGAGAAGAGTTCAAAACGTTTACAGAAAAATGGAGTTGAAAGATAATGAAATTTTCCCACACATTTTTTTGAAGCCCACTTGTACGCAGTTGCTTTTTCCATTAATATATTAAATCTCATTTGTTTCCTGTACAATTCACTATCTCACAATATTTCAGAAAAATCTCATGCTTATTCTGTACAGATGTGCACAATACTAGTTAGGTTATTAAAAAATAATTCTATGTGAATCAGCTTTATCTTAATTTTATTATCTTCGCAACATATACACAAACACAAGAAGCAGAACAGTGCTAATTTTTTTTTTAAACTGTGCTCAAACTCTTAACAAGGTTATCTAAATCAAGCAAATAAAATCTTAATGGTTCCTTTTAAGTAAAGATGCTGATTTACTTTGGCAAAACCAATCTCTACAGTAAGAGAGAGATGTTTACATTGATAATCCACTTAAATTCTCCATCACCTGTCAATTTATAATGTACATACAATGTATGCAAGCTGCTTTAAGTTAAAGGAAGTTTTGGAACTGTTTTCCTAGCCCACCAGGAGATTTAATACTGTAAACTTTAATTAAAATCATATTCTAACTCGATGAATCTAAAACTATACTGCCTACCTTCCTGAGATTTTGAAGGGAGACCTACAATCTTTTTGGTCAAACAATGAAACTGTTAAACTCTTAGAGGAATCTATTTGGTGATTTAAAGAAAATTAACCTGATATATTTAACACATTGGGATTCCAAGTGAGAAGAATTCCTTTACATAAGAGTAATAAAAATTGGAGTCATAGGTTTACAATGGTTAAGCACGCAGCTGCTGAATGAAGAGCTGGTGATCTGAATCCACTCTGTAAGAAAGACATCAGCAATCTGCTCCCATCAAGATTCGAGCCAAAGAAAGTCTGAGGTGGAGCAGATCAACTCTTTGCACTTTAGGGTTGCTATGAATGGGAACCAAGGCACACACACAGCAATCATTAAAACATAGGAAACTACTGTACTCAATGACTGACACTACTCTAGTGGTTAACAGAAACCCATTATCTAAGAATGCTTTCAAAGGGATTATCATTCAATTAATTGATGTTAACAGACAGTAACAGCCAAAATGTAGATTCAAAGATGTGAGATCATGTATTGTAGAAAAGAGGAAACAAATTTTGGGGGTCTTGGTGTGCCAGACTGAAATGCCATTCAAACTGCAAGGCTGGCAGTTCAAGTCCACCAGCTGCTCCTCAGAAACCCTATACATCGTCGCTATGGATCGGAACCAACTCGACAGCACTGAACAACAATAGGCACTGTGTTGAAATGGTTTATATTTCTTTCTTTCTTGGCCCTAATTTTTTATGCTATTAACTACCCACTTTGGATCTATATTCTAACCACCAAAGTACACCAAGTTAAAAATTGCCACCAGATAATTAAGCTCAATCTGAATGAAGAAAAGCCTCATTAATATTAAATAGCTATTATGCTATTAGGTGCTGCTTGGTCCTAGGCCATTCTGACAATTGTTACATTTGAGTCTCTTGTTGCTGCCATTATATAAGTCCATCTAGTTGAGAACTTTCTTCTTTTTCACTGACTGTCTACTTTACCAAGCATGACGTCCTATTTTCAACACATGAAAGACAACATCTAGTAATTCTTGCTTCAAAGAAGCATTCTTGCTGTACTTCGTTCAAGACAGATTTGTTTGTTCTTCTGAAAGTCTTTCTGAAAGTACTTTCAATATTCTTCATCAACACTATTAATTCTGAATTTTTCTTATTTATTGTCTAGCTTTCAGATGCATATGAGGTGACTAAAAATTTCATGGCTTGGGTCACGTGCATCTTTGATCTTTAATGTTTTAAAGAGGAGTGACATCTTTAATCTTTACACATAATCTTTAAAGAGGTGGTTGTGGTTATGTGCCATGGAGTGGTTCTGACTCATAGTGACCATGTACAGGGTTTCTGAGGCTGTAAATCTTTACGGGAGCAGAAAACCTCATCTTTCTCCTGTTCAACAGTTGGTAGTTTCTAACTGCTGACCTTAAGGTTCACAGCCCGATTTGTAACCACTACGCTACCAGTGCTCCTTCTTTAAAGAGGAGTGGTGGATTTTGCCATAGAATTCTTCAACATTGCCACCCATGGCTTGAAGTTTTTCTTCACTTCTTTCAACTTGAGAAACGGTGAGCGTGTTCTTTCCTTTTGTTTTTTCTGATTTTAGGTGTCTGCAAATTTCATTATAATACTTTAGTCTTCTTAAGCTGTCCTTGGAAATTTTCTGGATAGCAACTTTACTTCATCATTTCTTCCAGTCACTTTAGTGTCTCTACTGCATTTAATAGCAAAGTTTCAGAGTCTCTTCTGACATCCAATTTGGTATTGTCTTTCTTGTTTTTTTCAATGGTTTTTTACATTCTTCACGTGTGGCCTTCTTAATGCCATATCGCACAATCCAACAACACTTCTGGTCTTCAGTCATTAGTGTCTAATGCATCAAATCTACTCTTGAAATGTTCTCTAAACTCAGGGAGGATATACACCAAGTAGTATTTTGCTTCTCGAGAACTTGTTTTAATTTTCTTTAGCTTCAGGCTGAACTTGCACATGAACAATTGATGGTTGTTACACCATCGACTTCTGACTTTGTTTTGACTGATATTGAGATTTTCCATCATCTCTTCCCATAGATATAGTCAATTTGACTCTTGGTGTATTACAAGTGGTAAGGTCTACGTGTATTGTCACTTTATGTCACTGAAAATAGATATTTGCAATGAAAGAAATCACTGATCTTGCAAAAACTCTTTCATGCAAGCTACAATCATTTCTATCAGTATGTTCATATTTTCCAACTACCAATTCTTCCTCTTTCTTCCCAACTTCCACATTCCTATCACCACTAATTACCAATGCATTTTGATTGCATGTTTTATCAGTTACAGACTGAAGAAGCAAGTTGGTGATTGTTACGTGCCATTTAGTCCATTTTGACACACAGCGACAACTATAGGTACAACAGAATGAAAAATTGGTAGAATTGTTAAACTTCTATTACTGGCTTTAGAGGTTGTTAAATATATTTGAATAATAGTTGTCATAA